TTCTTGGTGCAGTAATCACCCATGTGGGATCAGGTGTTAGTTCTGAAGTGAGTTCTGCTCTTCAGCTTATGGTTTTTCTGGCAAGCAAACATGCTGAGGAATTGATACCACTCTCTTCTCATATAAATGGTATGTAAAGTTATAATCCAAACTTGTCTTCTAGTTTGCTGCTATCTGTAACAGGTGCTCTTTTCTATGTTCTACCATTCAGGACTTTTGGAATACTTGGAGGGATTTACCATGGAAAATCTCCATATGGTGTGTTAATGCTCTTTAAGCTTTTATTCTTCCATATGTTACTAGCTGAGCTTTCTATGTCCTAATTCCACTAGCTGTAGCATACTGTAGGTTTATGAGGTCTTCTGCAATATGGCTCTATCAGCTAGCTCTAGTACTGGCTCTTTTAGATTGTCCATTGCCAATGAGCTTTTGATGATAGTACGAAAGCAGGTATATTGGATCAATAAGTTTCTTTGTGGTACATAACGTTATCTGGCTTTTGGAGATAAAATTTTTTGACATAAAATTCTTGTTCAATTTTTTTGAGATGGTATATTATTTAGTTTTGTAGACTTGATACAGGGGTCTTGATAATGAGAAGTTATTTTGACTTACGTTACTCCTATTGGTCAGGTCAACCATCCAGATCTAAAGTACAAAAAGATGGGTCTAATTGGTGTTTTGAAAATAGTTTCATGCCTTGCAGATGGGGTTAATAAGTCCTGGTCATCACCATTTCAGGTAGATTCTGATTCATTGTTTCACTAATTTTACATGGTACCTTACAAAAATTTGGAATTTTATTGCTTGTTTCTTTTCTTTGATGAATTGAAGCCAGGTGTATATTGGGTTAAAATTCAATTTTAGATCCACATTTAAAAGAAATAATAAAAGGAACAGTAGAATTGAGTATGGCATGCAAAAAAGGCAAACATGGTTATTTATAATCTAAAATCTAGAATGAAAGGTAAAACTGGAAATTTTTTCTTCTCCCGGAAAGCCTATTTGGGAGAAGAAGGAAAGCTCATTACTACGTGCGCTAGAGGTAGTCTTTGGTGTACGTACTATGATGCTCAAGTTAATAATATTCTAGTGATGGCCAAGGAAGGTGGAACTGAGGAGGGAGAGAGGTTTCAGGAAAAAGAGAAAATTGTCCTTTTGTTTGGGGAAGAAGGCTCATTTTATGGTACCAACATGTAGTCTTCTTCTGTGCCAAAGCTGTTGCGTGTGCATCCAACTTGCCAAGTGGAGAAATACTAGCTTCACTGTGCAATCAGACTGTGCCACGTTTCAAATGGACAAAAATGATTGCCCAACAGTCTTCGTGTAGTTAGGGATATTGATGACAAGTGTGGGGTGCACATGTTAGGCAATATATGGCTCGTCTAATGGGTTGCATTGAGTTGGGTTGGCCGCATCCGCATCCATGTATTTCAATGGTCAATCAAGTTGGGTCAAGTGGGTTCACAAACTAGAGGACAACCCACAACCGGTGTAGTCAATAGTGCCCACTATGGCGTTATGGCTGGCATGGTGTAGTGATCAGAATGTTTGCCACTATGATAACTACAATAGCATGGTGGCTTTCCAATAGGGGTAGAACAAACAGAAACTAAGAACTAAGTGAAGTTAAAGATGGAACCAAAAAAAACACCTTAGGGTTTCAACCTCAAGTTTATTCTCAAAAGAAAATCTCATAACGTAAACTGCTTTAGAGATCTAAAAATAACTATATATAACATTACCCAAGTATCCTAATTCAATTCTAACTTGAACTTCTAATAACCTATTAATTCTAGCCCTAATTAAAAGTCACAAGCTATCCACATGACTTTCCTAAAAATTAAAACTTTGACTCCAAATCAAACTCAGACTTAACACAAAAACAAACAACCCTAAAACTAATAATTAAAAAGGACATCCGTGCTCCTGCATCATTCTTCCTGAGTTGGAAATCAAGCTTGGTTCAAATTGACAGCATCTGTCTTTAGCATTTTTATCTATACCAGTTTTCTTCTATAAAGTTCTCCAAAAATGCCCCTTAAGCTTAACAAACCTATAACGAACAATGATTGACAGAATACCATGTAGTCTCACTACCTTTTTCAAAAATAAAACAGCTACTAGTGTGGCTTCTGATGTCTTAGGACAAGGAATGAAGTCTGCCATTTTTGCAACTTCAAAATTTTTACAAGATAAACATCCAATTACCTTGCTGTGAGCTAGTGATTCTTTTTGTTGATCATATTCCCTTAAAGAATGCAAGTTATTATGCCTCATCCAATCTTAATTGTTCTTCTTCCTTAGTTATTGTCATCATTCCTTGAATCATTTAGTACTCTCCCTGAGTTGGAAGAATTTCCATTTCTTAAGTTTCATCACAATAAATGTCATAATTTGGTTTTCACATGTCACAATAATTCTCCAAGTCAGCTTCCCAATCAAGATAATCATCAGCATGCATCTTCCATGAAAGTCAGCAACTTCTATTTTAATTCTACCACTATTCAGATCAAGGGCATGAATCAACCAGTCTTCCAATAATCCAATCCACTCTTCCAGCTCAATTTGTGGTTCCAGCATCGTGAAAAGGGTTTTCATTCCCTTCATCCACGGCCTCATCCTTGAGACTACTTTATGGTCTGTCCAGAGGGTTATAGTCATCTTCTGGCTTCTGCATATGAACTCCTATCTTAGTCAATCTGCAACAAACAGAAACTAAGAACTACATAAAATTAAGAGAAAATGTGCAAATAAGGATATAAGGGTATGAGCTTTGTCATTTTTTTTATTTAAGGATACTAACTTTTCAGGTTTTTAAATTAGACGATTAACTTTCACTTTTTTTTTTTTAAAATAGTAAACTTTGTGCTATTTTTATTTAAGGATTATTGGATGGAGATGATGACATGCCAAACGACAATCTTAATTTGAATAGGTCAAAGTTTGTATTCTTAAATGGAAAAAAGTGAAAGTGTACTGCTTGATATAGAATCCCAAAAAAGTCATATCCTTAAAAGGAAAAAATGGCAAATTTTGTATCCTCATTTGAACTTTTTCTCTAAAATTAAAGATGGAATGAACAAAACTTCGGTTTCAACCTCAAGTTTCTTCTCAAAATAAAATTTGATAACAAAAACTTCTTTAGAGATCTAAAAATAACTATATATACTAAGAGTATCCAACAATTCTAATTCACTACTAACTTGAACTTTTAATAACTTATTTATTCTAGCTCTAAGTAAATCTCACAAGCTATCTTTAGACGCCAAATAAAACTCAAACAATGCAAAAACAAACAGCCCTAAAAATAATAATTAGAACAACATCTATGCACCAGCATCATTCCTTCTTATTAATCTGGAAGTTCTTCTTAGATAACCAGGAAATGATTTAGTTCTAGAGCCAACAATTGTAATTCTCAAAAGAGCAATCAACAGGATTGGGGAGCATTTTCAGGTTTTGGTATTTTTTCCTCAATGATTATAGTACCAAGAACTTGTTGTCAAGTTCCAATATGATCAGACTTATAAGCAAACATCTCTTGTACAATGAGTGCCCAAAATTGGTGGTTTGTGAGGCCCACTAATTAGCTGTAAATATAGTCTTTCCTTCCCAATATGTGGTCCCACGTCTCTTATACCCTTTGTTTTTCAATCCTTTCTAATTCTTGTGACATCCTTTTTTTAAGAAAGAAAAAAAGAAAATGCACAGCCACCCCTGGGTGCTAGGCAGTGTCCTGACATCTACCACCACCAAGTGTCTTCTGCAATATTGCTAGAACTTTAAGCATTAATGAATTTAACTTTAGTTCTTTGTGGTATCTTATGATCTGAAATTAATGTAAGCATTATGTAGTGTGTGTTCTTTATACTAAGTATGGAGGTAAATATTTTGGAAGCAACAGCAGCAAAATAAATAACAGAAAATGGAGTCACTCCACCAGAGTGAAACCCATTTTATCTATATCTAAAATAAAGCAACAAGAATAGCTGTAGATGTTGTGAAATAGACATGGTATTTCACTGTTGCACAAGATTTGTAAGAAATACACTAGGTTTGAAAAATATTAATAAAGGGAGAGTTCTTGCCTTTGATTCCTTTTAAAATACCACTTCATATTAGTGGTGAGAATAATAGTCTTGCTAGCAGGTTCTAATCATTATATTATTCTAGTTGACCAACTTCCTGTGTTTCAATTTACAGCATGTGCGTTTACCATTCATGGGTTTGTTATTTGTTTGTTTATTATCCTTTTAACAGAAGTCAAACTCTGAGGAGGCTCTGGAACTCTTGAAAATATCTCTAGAATCTTGCAAACAGTTTGTTTTACCACTAATCTTCTTTTATGATGAATTGACCACATTGCTGGAATGTAGAGTACTTCAGCCAGCCATCATGGAGTGGTGGGTAATTTGAAAAAACTTTATGATTAGCATTTAAGCCATTTGGGAAGATAATAATGCTTATGCTGTTACATGGAAACTTGTGTTTTCAGGATTGGCAAGCATGTTGGAGACTTTGAATCCGTATTTCTGTCTGATCTTGAAGCTGGGCAGTTGCTTAACAAAAACACTTATGTTGGTTTAGAAGGTAAAAAAAATTAACTATGTACCATTTACTTTTGCCTTATAATATTATGTTGTGAAATTGTGTTTCAAAACATGTTCAAGTTATAGACCCCATGGCATCTAACTTTTCATTTATCCAGGAGAGCTATGGATGAACTTGGATGGTGAAATATCTCCTATTTGTCTGAACATTCTGCCATTGGCTTCCTCTTCTTCACAGTAGTTTTCTGTCCTTTTCCACTTAAATCATAATGACTGTTTCAGATCTTGTCTTTCATGAATACTAAGGTTGGAATCTCAATTGGCAGATCTGATTCCTTGCAATTTCTTCCAGCATACTTCTCTTTATTATCTACTGTAAGTGCATACTGCTATAGATACCAAGTAGCATTTTAAGTAAAGAAAGAATTATTCTGAAATTTCTATCTATTGTCAGTTTGAAAGGGTGACAAATCAAGGATCTCTTGGAGGAATTGATGCATTACTTGGCTGCGCTTTGCACCTTCCTTCCCCTAAGGTGAGACCATGTAAAACACTCATGTAACAACACATTTTCTTGTTTTATCTTTGTGTGCCCCCCGTGCATTACTACGCTGCTCTTCTTCTCCTCTCTTCTAACCCTTGTTCATCAGTTATAAAAGAATTAATTTATTTGTGAAGTTTAGCAAAGTGGAAAGATCAAATTGACTCTTATACATTATCTACCATGGTTGACTAGTTTACACAGACATTCAAAATTTGTGATTGTGCTTGCAGTACCTGATATAATAGTACTTGAGAAACTTTAGTTCCATATTTATTTTTCAATATTTCTGATATGTTGTGTTTTCTGTTATGCATCTTTTTCTGAACAATAGTCATTGTGTACCATGTTTTTTTGCAATTCCAGTATTTCACTGCTACTGGATGGAAGTCTCTCTCAGGAAAGCAGAAACAGATCATTTGCCTCTCCCTTTACTACGCTGTGAATTGGATCCGAGAACTGGTATAGTTTTACTTCCACACTGTTATCTTAATGATTGGCAATCATATTAATTGCTTATTATAACTCTTTTGGCTGTAGCTTAATGCCTTCTGCACACAAGTGGCTGGAAAATTTAACTGTACAAGTCAGGCCACAAAAGAAGACATAATTTCCAAGCTACTAAAGAGATTGACGAACCTAGTGTAAGTCTTACAACGTCAGTCTCTTAAGTTTTATGCTTAGACAAGATTAAATGAGTGATGTTTGGGACATTGGGGAAACTATGTCTGACAAAAATATTAAGTATGCAATTGGTATGGCTAAATTATGGGTGAGAAGAGAATAGCAGAACTGGGGATTTTTGGAAGACTTTTTCAATTCAACTCATAAACTGCATGACCCTAATATAATGTATGCTTAAATAGAAAATCTAAAACCCTAGTTAGATTTAATACCTAATTACTAATTTATTCTCCTAATTGAAATCTTTTATTGAGAGATAATAACAAATCCTAATAAAAATAAACAACCAAATAACTGTTACAAATTAATTCTCATATACTCATAATTATGATATAATCCTAATATATAGATTATTTCCTTCTTTATCTGCACCTCTAAATCTGTTTGGCTAAATCTATTGAATGTCAACAAGAAAGACACAGAAGGAAAACTAATCAAGCACATAAAGAAGAGGGAGAAGACACAATCATGACCTATGGATTTTTGGATTGAACTGTCCTATCATTTGAAATCTGGTATTTTTTTCTGCTCTGAAATGTTAACTGTAATTTTATCTATCTTCTATGGTTTAGCCAATTTTAGGGGTAAATACCAAATTTAGTTCCCAACCTTAACCATAGATACCAAATATCATGTTAAATTTTTATTTGGACCAAACATGGTCCCCAACCTTTCCAAAATCACTAACCCTAATCCTTCTGTTAGTCACTTCCATTAAGTTCCTAATGGGAAATCCTCGTTGGAATTTTGGGGGACCCACCAGGACTTTTAACTGAAGAAAAACCCACCAAACCATTCTTTTCTTTTCTAGGGCAAAACATACATCTCCTTTTTTTAAAGAATCAGGTCTTTTGCAGTTTAGGCTACAAAACACCAACCATTGGAAGGGCCTCCCCTACTAAGATGCAAGCTAGGCTTCTTGCAAGGATGCAAAAAATTTATCAGCCTTGATGGATGTGAAACCAAGACTAGATATGAAGGATAGATTTTGGCAGTTGACATTCATGTCAATGACTGCATTTGGCCAACTGCATGGGCAGTTGTCCCAACTGAAGATAATGAAAATTGAGGATGGTTTCAAGCCCATTTAATTAGAAGTTGTGTTAAAAATTGAGAATCTCAAAACTGAAGAATGGTACAAAATTTAAGGAAGAATATACTTCTTTTTGAAAAAAAGAGGGTTCAACAACATTAAAAGAAAAAAAAAGGGGGTGCAAATATGTTTGGCCTTGGAAAAGAGAAGAATGGTTTGGCTGGTTTTTTCCCGTTTAAGGAGGGACTTAACAGGAGTGACTAACATTAGAATTAGACTTGGTGATTTGGATAATGCATGATATTTTTGAAAAAGGTTGGGGAGTAAACCAGGTATTTTCACCAAATTTCTGAATATATGCATATTGTTCTTGAAACTCTATCAACTTCTCTCTCTTGCAAATTTAGTTTTATGTTTTCAGTTTTTTGAAAATGGATTAAATTAAAATAATTAACACATGGTTGCCTTGCAGTCTTTGGTAATAATAATTTTCCTTCAGAACAAACAGCTGGTTTGGTTTGAGGGAGGAAAAATTATTATAACCAATCCAATTATTTTGTTGGCCCAACAACTTAATTTAATGGGTCGAAAACTCACTTTAATTAGTTGAAATAAGGTCACCTCCTTCCCTCCCCTCCCCTTCCTTTCGTTTCCTTCAAACCAAATGGGTCATAAGGGTGAGTAAATGCAAACAAAAAGGTGGCATGTACAGGAAGGTAAGGCAATCAAGCTTAGTTGTTACCCCAGCTAAATAATAAAGCTCAAATTTATTTATGGTGATGAGTAATAAACTTTTCTGCATAATATGTTATAAATTTATAGATCATTATATTATAAACTTTTAAGTCTTGATTTCTTTTGTTATTCAGTGTCCTATATCATGACCCTAGAATTTCCATTTACTGATGTTAAGAATCTGTCAAAGCAGATTTCTGGAAAGCTTGTTAAATCATTCAATCAGAATGTATCCTGTATCTTTGCCTCAGCTCCATCTTCACATTGAGCATTCTGTATCATTACTCCTAAGCCAACCAAACCATATTGGGCATCTGGAGGAGAGTGAGATTAGGATGAAATATGTAAATACATCCTCAAACAAAAGAAAACACGGAAAGATCTCGAAGGCATCAGTACAAGCTGATGCAGAAGGAAAAAACAGGCAGCCAACGTTATTTGATGTGTTAAGAAAAGCAGGGAAGTTGGTGAACCAGGAGGTGCAAAATGAGGTTATATCTAGATTATCCTCAATAGAGAAGATATCAGAGTCAGGAGATGAGCGAAGTTCCATTTCTAATGAACCAGAACCCATAGAAATTTCTGCAGTTAGTCAAGCTTTGGAAGCACAGAGATTTAGGTTCAGGCCTCTTCTAGTGCATTGCTTTTACATTCTGACATTTTCGAAGGTAAGACACACTTTAGAATATTTTTATTGCATTTGTTTCTTTTTCTTGCATTGTTTCTTCCATTATTCACTCTATACCTAGATTTACTGTCCCTTTATTAGCTGTCACTGATGAAGTGTTAATAGCCTTTTATGGTGTAATGTTTGCACACTTGCACATATTAATTTTATACAGAAGCAGTAATAATGACTTACAATATCATATTTATTTTGGCCTTCTACAAAATCATATTTATTGCTGATACAAATTCTAAAATAGTATAATAAAAGTGAAACAAAATTGAACTATAACATGAAATTTGAAATTCCTAACTCCCAATAAAAGTAAAAATACTTATAGTACAAGGCTTCAAAAACGTGACTCTTAATAAAAGATCGAATTGTAATTAAACAAGGAAAACTACCAGGGTGTTTGGTAGAGGTTTGAGGGTAGAGGTTTGGATTAATCAGATGAATAAGAATATTTTGATTATAAAAAACAATAACTATCCATTATTGCTGCTGCAGTTGAACAGCTAATCCAAAAACCCTGAATATACTTAGAATAATAATAATTAGTAATAATTACATAACAATCCTAAATAATAGAAATATTTTTTCTATAGCTTCCTCTTGTTTCTCATTCTCCCCTTGTTGGAGAAAACTAGACCTTTAGTTTTGAAGTGTCAAAATTCTTGAGCTCAAACTGCTTAAGTGGTAGCAAAACTTGACATAACTTGAATGCTTCCCTTAAACTGGCAAGTTTGACAATAAAGAGATTTTTTTTTGTGCCGAGCTTTGCTGGAAAGGTGAAATCAACAAAATGAACATCTTGAAAAGTAGAAAAAGTTTTAGGACCGTTTAAACTCTTCTCAAGACATCCTTCGGTTTCCACCATTGTTCTGGTCCATCGTCAATTTCTAACACAATCTTTTAAGTTCATTTCACTTCTTTGTTGTCCTCTTTTGACGCTAAATCTTCTTTTATGTTGCCACCATCCACTTCTTCAAGTAAGTTCTCATGAATTTCCTTGCTGATCACCTTTTGAAGCACCAAACTTGTTGTGACATCTGCCTTGTATCTTCAATTTTTTTGCCAGCAAAACTTGAACTTTCTGTTTCAGCCTCAGTTATAACAGATGCGTATTTGTTTGTCTAACTTGAGTCCTGAACTTAGTGAATTGCTTCCTCATTTATGAAATAATTTCACCCAAAAGTGCTATTCCTCTTTTCATTCAAGTATTGTTCTCATTCTTGGGTGTATAAATTTTGAGAAAGCACCTTTCATCAAATGATGAAAAATCAGTTCCATGCCTTGAATTAAAATCGAGGATTTCATCAAAACAATAGAAGCCTCATGACATCTCTCTCCAGCTTATCAATCCAATTACTCAACTATTCAATCCTACCTGCCAAGTTTTCAAATTGGAGCTAGGACCATGAATTTTGAATGAACAATTGCTGTTCAGTAGCCTGAAATCAAAAACCAGCACATTAAAATCTGATGGGAAGTCTGCTGTGATATTTTGCTGCTGCAGGAACGATGTTGTTGTGGCAGAACCAACATTTTGGAAATGAACTTTTATTTATTTTTCTTTACCATGATATTTGGTGACTGGGATTGTGGAATATTTTCTTTGATACCAAACTGACGTGGGACAGGTTAGGGGATATATGGTGGCTTAAGGGATTTATGGGCTGTTTTGTGGGTGAAAGGGTAGGAAACATAGAAGAGAAAGAAAAGGATAGAAAAAACCTAAAGGAACACCTAGGTTTCTTTAGGCATATCTTTAGGCATCAAACCTAAAGAGATTGAAAATTCTTAAGCATCATTGCATCATACAATCTCAAGAGAAAACTCTTGCTAAAAATTTCTGAATATTATTGATTGACTAGGAGGGTGTTTGGCAAAGCCTGAAAAGCAACTTGCTTAAAAGCAAATTCTTCACTCACAAATTTGAAAATTTGTTAGAGGAAAATTCAAAAATTACCATTTAAAGTAGCTTTTAAGCAAGTTTTGAGAAAACTTCACATCCAAACTTTCTCAAAACTTGCTTGAAAACTACTTTAAATTTAAAAGCTAATTTTTGAATTTTCCTCTAACAAAATTTCAAATTTGTGGGAAAAGAATTTTTAAGCTTTGCCAAACACTTTCTATGCATATTTATATAGAAACTACTAGGGCTGCTAATAGGATTCCTGTTCTAATTAGAACTATGACTTGACAGCGGCAATCCCTAATTCAACTAGGAATTAGACTCAATAAAAATAAAAATAAAAATACTGGCTAGTAAAAACTCATTTTTACTCTTAATGAAAGGTCTAATCCTAATTCAACAAGAAAACTGATAACACACTTAGAATAATAATAATAATAATTACATAACCATCCTAAATAATGTAAATATGTCTTAGTTTCTTGTTGTCACTCTTTAGTTTTCTTTCTTCTTCTCATTTTTTTCCATGTAAATGTCAACATGGGGTGTTTGGTTGGGGGAAAACTTTCCTCCTATCCTAATGTTCTCTTAACTTTTTCCCTTATAAGGTTATTTATGTATTTTCACACATTAATATTATAACAAAATGAGACTTTATTTTCCATGACACAATTCCCAAAACCTTTAAACTTTTTTTCCCACACTTTTTGAAGGGAAAAAGTTCCCCTAACTTTCCCTATCTAGGATCCACTTGACAACTTTCTTACCCACTTCCTACCAACTTTCCCTATGCCAATTTCTTACCAAACATGGAAAAGTTAACAACCCAACAAAATTCCAACAAAACTTCAGTCCAAAACTTATCAACTTTCCATACAGTACTTTCCTAACCAGTTTCCTAGTAAAATTGGCCATCTAACCAAACAAGCCCTAGGTGTTTTACTATCAGCCATTTTCTTTGCTTCTATCTACAGAATTGAATTTATATTTTCAATTCTGAGATGGCATGCTACACTATTTGACTCCTTGCCGAGTTACAACATTGATTATGATTGCAATTTATAAGCTTTAATATAACAAGATTTAAATCTATGTTTAATAGTTATTGCTTTTATAATATAATTAAGCATCTGATGAGGGTATCAATATGAAAAGGTATTCTGTGCTTGATTGATTTCCAAATTAATTCTTGCTTCTCTCTATTTTTTTATTCCAAATTAAGAAACTTTTTTTTGTGAACTGGTAGAACCTAATCAACAACTGTTCTGTTAAATGCTATAGGTTCCTGCAACCTATAAAAGATCAATATTCATAGAAATAGAATATTTTCATCATAAGAGATGGAAAAAGAAAATGAGAAAGAATGGTGAAATTTAATTTTCTTTTAGATTGTGCAGCTGGCAGTTTATTGTTATATGCACTGGTCCAGAATGTGCTAGGATTCTGTTTGAACACTGCATGTTGCTCTAAAATGATCTGTTTTGAACTTCTGTAACTTCAATTCATAGAGTTAACTACTGTGGTTGCTTGTCATGTTCACAAGTTATGCGTATATCAATGGGAAGAACAATTAGAGTTATCTAATGTTGTTTTCCAAATGCAGAATCACAATTCCTCTTCCTCGGACCCTGCAGCTGAGGTATCATTTATTTTACACAGTTATGGTTTATTTCTCATTCCGTTTCTTTTTTTTATTATTATTTCTTTTATCTACTTCTTATAGATGGAAAAAGGGTTTTACTTAACCTTGAAAACATTCTTTTTTTCTTCTGGTAGCTACCCATGTACCTGTACCTTCTCCATGATCTTCACTACAAGCTGGATTACTTTACTTATTTGGGTAAACAATTGTCCTCCAGAAGTATCAATTCTGTTGGTTTTACCAGGATGACAGTGGATGAGTTCCTAAGTAATATTAGATCTCTCTTTCCAAGTCTCAAGAGCCTTTTAAATAGTGCTCTTGGAATCCTTAAAGAAGGTAATGTGTTAGTCTTCAGTCATCATTGATATCAGTGCTTCCAGATTCTATTAATCATTGAACAATACGCTCTAGGTGATGAAACTTGTCAAGAACATTGGAAATTTCAATCTGCTGCCGCTGGGAACCCAGATATAAGCAACCATGTGATATCAAAACCTTCAGTCTCCACCATGGTATTCAAAGAAGTACTTAATGGTTTTAGTAAGGTGAATGTTTTACTTTCTTTTATCTACTATTCATTTTCCCTAATTCTGCTTTGAAACTTGCAATGTTGATCTATTTTTTCTCTTGGGTGCAAAATTTGAGTACCATATCTCAAAACCATAAGTATATCAAACCCCAATTCCTAGACCACCTGAGCTAAGATGAGGTGGCCATGTTGGTCACTCACACAAAACTTTACCATTTATAGAAAATATTTGATTCTACTTCCTGAGTATGGTTTTATCTTGGTCTGGATGTAGATGCTAAACCTTCATGATGTTCAGAGGAATGAATCAGTTCTTTCAGATCTTCTTGAAGCTTTTCAATCCATCAAAACACCAGATGATGTTGCTTCATATGGACAATCTTTTTCTTGTGGAGCAATTGAATCTTTATATATTGGTGCTTGTTCATTTGTGGAAAGTGTCCTAGACACAGGTAAAGTAGTCCTGCATGTTTTCCTTATGCTGCTTATTTATCTTTAATTCTAGTTGTTGTAACTGTTCTACATTCTGCAGCATGTTCTTTGTCCTTTACTCTGGCATCAGAATCTCTGTTTACTCTGGAATCAGCTGTTACATCAGTTCAGAAAGTCTTCAAGAAGTCAGAGGCTAATAGCAAAAGCATGCAGTCTAAGTTCAGCCAGATCCTTCCTGCCTTACGTCAGAGGGTTGAAACTTCTGCTCATAAACTGCTAAAGCATAATTGGAATGATGAAAATCTTGAGAATGGCTGGAAGAACAAAGTAAGAACAATTGTGTCTTCTTTTGATTTCTTTGTTTTTGATTCAAATTTTTTAATGTCATGAAGCAAGTGGTTTATGCATGTACAATGATAGGGAGAGATTGTTCAGAAGATATTAAGGATTTACTTGGAATATAGTGAGTCAACCTCTGAGTTGGTAGTTGAACTTGCCTGCTCTATTTTCCCACAGGTATGCGGATTTATTGAATTTCATTTTTTTTAAATTGCTGGTGTTTATGTTAAAATTGTACATTATGCATCTAGCATTTGTTCAATCTGGCCTCATGATAGAAAATTATTTTGACCTTTAGTTTGGAATGGAGAATAATTGAACTTCAGGTATCAATAAAAATGTTTGCTTTCAATGACAATGTAGAGGTGTCATGAAAAGTGTGTTAAGTGGGAAGATCCAACATTACCTATTGTCAATTGGTATTATTTTGGATGCTCACATGCTATTAGAGCCGGGGCTCCATTCTATTTCAAGCCTACTCAACCTGGGGATCGGCCAAGGAAAAAAAAGAAATACACAACTTGGGGGAGATTGCTAACTTGTGGGCTATGGTTGTTAGTCAACATGCAGAGCCCCATGTTGATATCGACTTGCACAGGTGGGAATGTGTTAAGTGAGAGTATCTTGCGCTGATGAATGAACTATTTGTGCTTGGTGTGAGTATAGACTTGCTTTTCTTATAAGCTACAAGCAGGAAAAGCATGTATTTTAGTTTTCAATTAATTCCTTTTTCTGATCAGGAGAGTAAAAGTGAATAGTGAAAATCGTATTTATAACAGCAGAATAATAATTGATAGTTCTACTTCAGCCCAAGCACCCAATAAGTAACTCTATTGAATATTAAATATAGGTTATGATCCTGAATTACGAACTTAAGTTTTTTAAATGCTTGGTTTTGAAACATTATTGGCTTCAGTTGACCATGTGGTTGGGTGATCTAGTCCTAACTGGTTAAATATTGGCACAGAAAATGTTGTAGACCTCTGCAGGGAAATTAAATGCCCTTTTAGACTTGTACTTATTCCATTTGCAGGAAAATCCAATCCCTTGGCAAGTTTGAGGCAAAGCATTAAATAAAAAGACATTTTGGGTATACCTATCTGGACAAACTTTTTGGTTTTGCTATTTCTTGGCAAACTCTAGTCTTTAATCAAGTCATTATTCTTTTCATTTTCTTATATCTTCCTTTGTATATAATTGTGTAAGTGGGATAATCCCACATAATATTGAGTGATGTTCCTTGTGGTATTTTATTGAAAAGCCTTCCTACATCAATTTAGTTTGAGGTTTCCTCTGGTCTTATATTCAAGTGAGCCTCTTCATAGATGCTTTAACAAATTGATTAATCAATTTTGTTTTCCATTTTGGAATTCCCAAGTAATCACCTGCTATAGGTCCCATCTTTTCCTATTCTCTATGTACTCTTCTCTATTCCTTTTTTTTTTTTTTTTTTCTGTTGCATTTAGCCTTATCTTTCTTCATATTTTCTATGCCTTTCCTTTTTAAGGGTTACTTTAAGAGTTGAATTTAACATTTAGATAGCATTTTTCATGTCTTCTTTTGCATGCTCTTGTGCTTGCATTTTGTCATGTCACATTTGTTTGTCTTGTTATGTGCTTTGTTTTTCATATTTGACTTAATTGAATTTGTGGTATATTTACTAAATTAATTATCAATTTTAGATGTTTTGTCTGGCAGTATAGAATTTGAACAACTTCTTTTGTAAATGTTCACTTCACCCTTCATTGGACACATGCATAAACCTTACCTTTATCTGCCTTTGATTTAAGGTTTAAACAATTATTGCCAACTTGATTTAGGGAAAGGACAACCCATTGTTATTTGTTCCTTCAGATCTACCTCTAAATAAACAGTTTTATTATTAGGTTTCTTCACAACAAAACTTGGGAGAAGATGATCTTCATGGTTTCACAACTCTTTGTTCTGCAACATTTCTTCCATGGTATAGGGTGCTGGTAAGATATTTTTTATTTCCTTCTAAATTTGCAAATTCTTATTATGTTGCAATTACTTTTATCAATGAATATATTAATAGAGGGTGTCTTTGTGTGTAGTTTGAAGTTAACCTTACAATTCTCAACAAATTGGTAAGATGTAAATCTTACTATTAGTTCAAGTCCACTGGAGAAAACAGTTATGATTCTTATTCTTTCATCTCTTGTGATTAGGTAAAGGAAGTTCATTCAGAAAAATCTCTTCCTGGTGTTCAACCTGAGAATGTGGAAACACATTTAATTGGTATGCAAAAGACTGTTAACGTCACAGTTGCACTTGTTAACATGTCCAGGACTTGTAACAGGGTAATTAACAAGAACGCTGATTCTTCTTCAACAATTATTTTTAAACGTAGTTGTATTGTACATAATGTTGCTGACCTATATAACTGCTGGTAATTAACAAGAACGCTGAGTCTTCTTCAACAATTATTTTTAAACGTGGTTATATTGTACATGATGTTGCTGACCTATATAACGGCTGGTTTAATTTATGGAAGCCATTCTTTCTCCTTCCGTACAGTGCATTCATTTTGAGCTAGATTTTAATGAACTTTTATCCATAAAGAAGAAAATGAATGATATAAATTTTGTAGTGTTTTGGCTGTGGAAAAAAGTAATGTAGCCAAAAGAACAAAGAAAATAATAAAATCGGATTATAAGATTATTAATGGGTGTTTCTGGACTTGTATTAGTAGTTTTAATATTGAAAATCAACATAGGTTTATGGAGTTGACACAGGCACCAGATTGTGGTTAAACCATCATCATACCTTTGAATGTTTCCTTTTGCTTCTGGGTGCAATATTAGACTGATACAAATGTTCTCTCAAGAAAATACTACACCTCCAAGAATAACCCTGATTCAAAGAGAATACGAACACACTCTTTGTTGATGCATGTTTTGCTCATTTTACAGGTTACTGTGCATGCCTTGGCTGTAAAGTATGGTGGAAAATTCATTGATTCCTTCCTTAAAGGTAAATATATGTATATATGTTAATATTTGGTATGTAATAACGTGCTTTGTAGTGTAGTTGCTTGCGTGACTGATATTAAATGCTCTGCAGCTTTTGACTTTTTAGAGGTTCACTTTCAAGCACATGATGAAGCCATAATTCTCCTGGTGAGATATGGGTGCACCAAAATATTTCAATTCCTTTCTTCCAAAAAGAGAGATTAGTAGATATCTTAATTAAAGACTTGATGCTTCAATTCTGATTTAGGTGAAGGAGCTTCAAAAGGCTACGAGAACAATACAGACCCTCTGCTCTGAAGCAAAGGTTAGCATTTCAACTCTAAATTTTTTGAGATTGTGATTGCCATTATGGTGGACCATGCTGAATATCTCTCTTTTTTTTCTCAAAGGGCTCGAAACAAATGGCCATTACTAGTAAAATTCCTGCTACAAAGAGATCATTAGAACGGTTTTTGTTTCGTGTCAAGGCTCTTCTACATGCAACGTCTAGCCATTGTACTTTCTGGATGGGTATGTATTTATTTGGTGGTATCCTTTTTTGGTGGAAAATACTATATTCTAGAGGTTTTCATAGCGATTTTTGGGCTTTACAGAGATCTACAAACAACTCCATGGGTTCAACTTTATTTGTCCTACTTTCTAATTTGGGGCATTCAAAATTTGTTGTCCACTTTTCCATTTTAAGATGTCATTTAATGTATTTATTCCTATTTTACTGTTATTTTAAGAAGATAATTGCAACATATATTACAATAGGATAGTGGTTAATTAGGGATAAAAATGAAATTTTATGAATTAATTATAAAGGTATATGTGTGGACCATTGCTTTGCCTTGTATTTCATTTTTAATAAATATAAAAAATCTCAACCATCAAAAGTGAAGAGATGAATGGTTGAGATTTTATATAAATATGATATGTAAGATTTGTATGTAAGGAAATCCATACTTTATATATATATATATATATATATATATATGTTTTTTTCTTCTTTTTTTTTTCTTTTTCTCTACATTCTTACTTGTGACCTATGGCTTATATTTACAGGCAATCTAAAGCATAAGGATTTGGCAGGCCAAGTGGTTAGCTCACAGGTATACATAGATGATCAAAATGATATTGTTGATGAAGATCCAGAAGCAGCTATTAATGAGGATGAAACTGCTGCTGTCGCTAGCTCTGACAGAGAAACAGGATGAGAATTCTCTATTGTTGAAAATATCACTCTTACGAAAGCTAAATATTGAGGTCAGGTTCTAGTACTACCCAAATGATTTAGCTGTGCATTCATCTTCAAGAAGTTCATTATAGTACTAGACTACGAGTGCTACTGACATTTATATCCATGACCATGACTCATGGTTGCATCCATCTAGATTGCGGTGGTTCTAACTGCAATGGTTAATGAAAAAGATAATGTTAAACTGGAAGTTTCCCACTTACACCACGGCTGATAAATTATGCTAGGTTGTCAGCATTGTTAACCGAGCAATCCTTTTTACGAGTTTTTCTCATAACTGAACTAAATCTTCAATCATACTAATATGAAGCAAGTGCAGATCTCTGCCCTTGTGAGCTCCTTCCAAGCTAATTGCGGAAATTTTGGTGATAGTTCACTTGAAATTAGTGGCAGCCTTACTGCAAAAGGACCAGTCGACAGACCAATTGCTGATTAGGCTTTTACCGATTGGGTCTCGTGACGGTACGGTAATAAGGCCTATTTTATTGTGCTAATAGGGATTATAAGTCGCCAACCCAAATCCACAACTAAACTTTACAACCTTACGTGGACAACCACTTCTAGTATTTTAGAATTATGGTTGAGTCCAACAACTATTATTTGTTACAGAAAACTCCTTAAAAGTATCGTTACGGCTCCAATACCAATTTTGGCTGTCTTTAACTTTCATTACTTTTATCCAGCTATTTGATTTATCAGCTGTCTCTATTCCTTTGCCCTAGATTTGCAACGATTGATTTCTTTTAATGGGCATAAATATCTTTTAAGTAAATAATTTATGTAGTTTAGAAACAAAAAAGTACTTTTTTGTATTTCAATAAATCTTTTAATGGCTCTCTGTCTGGCAGTTGGAAGGACTGCATCCACTAGTTTGCAGAGAGCCATCTTTGAGATAGACAAATAGCCAAAAGGAAGTATTGATTCCTTGGCAAATTGAACTAGTGGTGCGAGCAATTTGAAGTTTTACTTCTATGCTCTTGCATAGAAGGCCTTGAAAGGAAAAGACCCAGAAAACACCCAGAGTTGGCTCCTTGTTTGGTCTAGATTTGTAAAGCTTAATTTAGAATTAAAAGATATTAGTTAAAATAAAAGAACTTATATCAAGGGAATTTCGGCCTCAATGAGTAAGGGAATATCTACACCTACTTTCTGAGATGTGTCCAGTTTGAGGTTGTGTTTTGCCCAAATTGAAAACAATTAACACCGTCTAACTATTTAATTTATAAGTTCATTATATTCTTCTAATAGCTCTAAATATCTTTTAAGTAAATAATTTATAGCTTATAAATGTAAAAGTTCTTTTTGTAGTTTAATAAATTATCCAATGGCTCTCCGTCTAGCGGTTGGAAGGGCTGCCTCCACAAGTTTTCAAAGGACCATCTTTGAGACAGACCAATGGTCAAAAGGAAGTAGTAAATTTTTGGGCAAATTGAACCAGTGGTGCAAGCTGTTTGGAGTTTGGTCCAATCTTTTGATTATGTTTTGTTTATAGTGCAAATAGGTTAAAAACATCCCATACATTTTTACGAGCCTGAAAAATATTTCGCTGGCCTTCACATCCTATACTTCCAAAAGCATCAAAACCACCAAGTCTTTGTTAAATAAAAATGGTATATAAAATTGAATAGCTCATTTCGGTTCAATGACATGAACCTTGAGTTAAAATTGTTCATTTCTTATAAATTACATGTTCAAATTTTATGAAATCTCATTTCTTTTCTCCCAAGAGATTCCCTTTCTCCCAATTAATATGTAAAATAATTGGCATATAAAAGTAGTTCTTAAAATTTTGAGAAAGTGACACTCTAGTCCCAAAAGAATGACATTCGAGCCCCTGTTAAAGTGTACTTTAGTATCTTGCAGTGCCTGAATGGGACCGGATAATTTATATAGTCCAGTCCACGAAGATCGAGGTCTTAATACAAACTTTTGAATGCGTGAGACCTAAACAAGAGAAGATAGCACTCGGTCCTTGAAGCCTACTAGCATCAAGCTAGTCAATGGTGCATTTCCCCTCTTCTCCTTGGGCGGTTTCGAACCGCCCCTTGGCAATATGTTCAAAAAAAATAAGAGAAGACATGGACACTTAGCTTTACTAAAGAATTTATTGCAGTCTCCATTAATGTAAAAGTTTCATCCGTCTGCAAAAGATAAGGACCCAAAGCAAAAGCATTTTTGAGAATTCAGACCAAGTTAAGTCAATAAAGTAGTGCATGACAGATTGACCTAACTAGAAATTGTGATACATCTTACAAAAATTTTGAATTAATTATGTGGAATAAAATTTATGAGATGGAAAATTCACCCATCTGGTTTTATCAATCTGCAAACTCTTCCTCAATTTATATATAGCCTTAAGGTATAACGTTAAAATCTAATGGCTAAGGAAAAGGTAGTGGGTGGAAATTAATGGATAATGGATAGTAATTTTTAATTAAAAAAATTAATTTTTTTATTTTTGAATATAAGGTAAAATTATTTAAAAACATATTAAATAATAAAATAGGAAAAGAAATGAACAGTTTAACAGTCGAACATAAAATGGTTTATGCAAAAATTGAAGGGAGAAGTCGTGCCTTATTTTATGGATAAATTTGTAATAATAATTTAAAACTTTTAATACACTAGAGATTTAAAGTATAAGTTTATCTTAAAAATCTCTTTTAATTTATTAATAAATTATGTTTTAACCGTTAATCATTATTATTAAATTACTAAATAAATAATTTTATCAAATATTAAATACTTAATTATTAATAAAAAAATTATTAAACATTATTATATAACAATTTAGACAAAATTATTAATAACTAATTCAGAACTAATATATCAAACAACCAATAACTTTGTTGGATTACGTGCCTTCGTCAAAGTCTGTTAACTTCTCTAGATTCTTTGTTTGCAACTCTATTCCCAATGCTCTTTTGTTGTTGCCAACAACCTTCTAATGTCAGCAACAAAGTGGGGTGCCAATATCTACTTATCGTAGCTTCTTAGGTTGGGGAAGCTAACCTTTGGTTGTAAAATGCTAGTGTTGAATATTCTCAAAACTAAATAATGTCCCTGTTGAACATTTTCCGCTTAGCCTCGCCACTATTGAAACATGTCAATTTGGCCTCGCAACTATCTAGCTTCGGCTAACAACCTTGCTTAGTGAAGCTATGACAGCACAGTTCACATGTATTTTTAGATAAGCTCTTCTTTACATTTTTATAGTTTATTATCGATTTTTATGCTCTAGAGTATGATACATATTACATAATAAAACTTTTTACTTTCTTATAGATTTTGAAATAAGTATTAAACATTCATATAATTTTATCATATTAGCTTCCCTTTGACATGTTTGCAATCCAGCATTATATTGTCATGATGAGAACTATTGAAATCTTAGTACCACTTGTTGGCGACCACACTTAAAATTAAAAATATCAAGTTAAGTGTGAAAAATATAAAAAGGTCACCACTTATCCAAATTATAAAGTGAGACAAGTTACCTTAAAACGAGTTTGCGCAGAGATTGAAGTTCGAAAGTTCAATTAGGAGTGAGGAAGGAAGGGCGTGCGCACGTCACAATTCTCTGTATATGCACATGGTTGCATACTTTAAAATTGAGATTTTAATTCAACTTATTCATTATATTTATGTTTAAATCTTAATAAGTGAACTTAAAAAAAGATAAACCAAATTGAAACACTTTTTTTTTTTTTTTGAATTTTTAGACTAGAATGGACAAAATCAAAGACAGTCATGCATCATAAGCACAAATAAAAGTTAAAGGGACTAATTTGATTAAATTCAAAACATGAAGGATTGATTTGATTAAGTTCAAAAACATAGAGGATTGCTTTAAAAAGATTTGAAACCTTGAGACTGAATTGCTTAATTATAAAAACTTTTGGGTGAAATTGAGATAAAATAAAAAATAACTTTCACTTTAACCAGAATTAAAGAAAATTAAGGATTGAAATTAATTAATCAAGATAATTAGTTTAATTGAATAATTAATTTAATATTAATTAAAATTAATTAAAACTAATTAATCACATTTATTAATCATTAATTGAGATAATCAAATAAATTTAATTATCTCAAATTAAATTCAATAAATATGATTAATTTATTTTAATTAAGATCAATTAACTTCATTAATCATAAATTAAACTCACTTAATTAATTAATAAAATTTATATATATATTTTTTACTTTTTTAACCTTTTTAGTTTTTTTTTTTGTTTGTTTTAGTTTTCAATTTCTTTTTTTTTTTTTTTTTGGATTGAACCGGATCTACCTCACCTAAAAAACACAAACCATCCACAAAAATATACAAAAACAGATTAAACTGGATAGAATCGAATGGAAATTTAGGGCTTCTGTTCAATCATTCATCAACACAAACAAAGGTGTTGGGAATGGGCTCAACATTCAACTTGGACCGTGCACAACAGGCCTAATCATACATCTATAAGCCCAAAATGAAGAGACATCCATACACTAGTGTAGACATACCCACGTGGGTAGTAACAACGTTTTAAAAATCGGACCGGATCAGTCGGTTGAATC